GCGCCATGGACTTCCTTCTCAGATATTGTGACATAACCACTCGGAGCGCTACGGCCTTCTTCTCTAGGAGGTGTTGCTAGGAGGAGGGTGGGAGGGGGGGGGGGAGAGGGGGGGAGGGGGGGATAATGAGTGGGAAATCTCCGCTCAGTGCGTAGAGCACGTGCACTACTGTATCACGTGCTCTACGCTCTGCTTTCAAAAATGTCGCGCCTCCCGGCCGGGCTCTGCGGAGAACAGCGGGGCGTGCTGCTTGTAGAAATGCGCTGCGTGTACGAATGCTTTCGCATTCCTACACGTAAGCAGTCTTAAGTTTCCTCCTGTAATTTTTCATTTCAAAACTGTGTTGCATAGACTATTAGCGCCGAGATGTTTCGGTGGCGCCCTCTTATGGTTTCCCTCCGTGATGTCACGACTGGGATTTACCTCGCCGTGACGTCACCAGTTGTTATTCTGGCTACTTACCATCGGGTGTGACGTCGAGTTCGATGGTGTGTTTAAAAAGCACAGTAGAAACTAGGAGCCATCGCAACCCGAAACTAACACCGTCAAAGTTGACAATCTGACAGTGCTCATATGCCCATGGTTTGGCCAATCGTGTAAGCCTGACCGCAGCGACGCTTTTGGCCGCGCACATCGCTAATAGAGGACGGTGAAACGCCATCTAGATGCTGTCCTTCGAAGCACACGTATTTCATAGAATACGCTGCAGTTACCATTGCAGCCGTCCCCCCAAAACGATGGCGCGTCGAACGGCGGGAGGCCAGCTGTGGTGGGCGAGAAGCGAGGGAGGGGGGGGGGGGGGGGGTACAGCCAAGACCTCATAGACTAGAAGGGCCTCGGCGCTCTTTCCGCATGACCGAGAGAGAAGGCCATCGGGGCCGCTCTAAAGCGCGGATGAGAAGGCAGCGCGCGGAAGTTTACTTTACCGTCATCGCAATGAGTTGTCAGGGAGTTTTCGTAGGTAGTTTCCGCTGTCCCGCAACGGCTCTCCGCAACCCGCTACGACAGCCGGAACTCTGCAGTCAAGCGATGGGCGCGCAGGCGCAGTAGCGGTTTCTTCGTTGCGGAGGGCATAAAGCGCGAAACACACGTACGACGAAACCGTCCGATCCGACGTCCGACCGCGCAATACGACGGTCGGAGGCGAGGGTTTTCAACGCTCTCCGATGCTACGAACACCCTCTCCCCCAAGGTCATTCCGACAGTCCGCACGTCGGATCGGAAGGTTTTCGTCGTACATGTGTTTCGCGGTCTACGAAAACTCCCTATTATTGAGGCAAGCGTGTTCATTTCTTCAAGTACCAACTGCGCACAACATTTAGATTAGGAAGCTACTTTTAATGGGCTGGCAAATTATAACTACATAAAATCATTGGTGTAAAATGGAAAAAAAAAACAGGTGTATAACGAGGTCTACAGATAGATAGGGTTTACTTTCAAGCATGAAATTGTAAATGATATAATTATAATTATCCCCGCAAGATGGATTAGTTATAAAGAATACTTCGCAAAAATTACGCGATAAAGGATGATTGAAAACGGCATTACAACATCACAGTACCAACACATTTGGCGTAGTTAAGGCATGTAATAACTGCATTCTAGCCTGAAACTAAGCTGTGTATTTACATAGCAAAGATTAGAGGTCAGATGTTCCTGTTGGCCTAGAGTCCTTTCTGCAAGGATGTTATAAAGGATTTTAATTTATTTAAAAAAAAAGCTTACCTTTTTTTTTTTTTTTGCTCCTAGAATTACTTGAAATCTTTTCATCTGAATTATAAATCTTTTAATTCAAACTTCTGAAACGTATTTTCCGAAAAAAAAAATTTTGAGCTTAGACCACAACATTAACAAGTTAAAACTATTGGGCCCTTCGTATTATGAATGCCACATATTATGAAGATTTCTTATTAGGGAGTAATGTAGTCCTGAAAGCTGAATTGTAGATACATTGGTGTGACAAATTTATTCCATTTGTTTGCTTATCTACAAATCGCATCACATCATCTTATCGGTGTCTGGTAGCAATCAGTTCGACCAAGACTCACCTCTCCTGATACGAAATATAGTGATCTCCAATGGCATCTGCTTTTAAGTAAGCCTTGGCAAAAACGCACGTTGAGAAATCAATTTTCGGTGGGAATGCAATGCAACAGACGTCTCTCGAAGGATACCACTCTCCGTGAAGTGAATCTCGCCCATCTGAAAAACAAATGTGCCTTCGTAGAAGTGACAGCAATTTGTGAGTACGTTTTATTAAGTTCCCCCGTGTTACACGAAGCATAATTGTGTACGAACACGCGTGCCAACAGTTTTAATCGTGCACTTCTTTTTGCACGGATAGATGTGACTTATTTACGCGGTTTCATCTCTTTTCTAAGTGCGTTACAGCATAAACAAAACTGAGAAATATTGGCGGTTGTGAATTCGTAGTAATAGAATAAATTGTTTAATGAGGGATCCGTTAACCTGGACACCAAGCGCAGCACTCAACGTCATATCCGTCCGCAAGGGGAAATATACCGGCAACACGGGCTTTGTATGAACAGGCTGTCAAAGTACCGGTCCCATCTCGAGTCCTCAACGAAAGCTGTCGAACGTAACAAAATACTGCTAACGGACTCGGAGCCCATTGAGCCGTTTTTGAATGACGCCCGACATGATGCCATCCGATGTAAGTCATTCGACGGAAGCTCAGGAGACTTAGGAAGCGGCTGAAACTGTACATACAAGAGACCCGGAGAATCGAAACAAGGAGGAGTTTTTACCCTGCCGTGTTGAGACACAAGAAGATTCTCCCGCGGGATGGCTCTTGTCTACGCTTGCCGCAGGACACCGTCTTGGGGGAACTTCAACCCGTGCGCTTTTTCGGTGTTTTTGTAGTTGCCGCGACATCCTGTAGAGCAACGCTTGTTCGACATGTCGATCCATCGAACAAAGACGCGCGCACGTACGTTTTAAAACAAGGCTTGGCAGACGACGGGTGGAGAAAAACAAAGGAACAGTGCGAACAACTCCGACGTCTGCTCCCAATTTGAACAGTCACGCATGCGCAGTCGGCGGTTTGGCGGCGCTTCGCGAGCCGCCACTGCCAACGGCCGCTTAGGCCATGCCCTTATTTCTCCGCCATCTTTGCCTCCCGACTCACAAGCACTGAGGCCAGAGCCATGAATAGAAAGATTTTGGTCAATGGGAAAAGTGAGCAAATGGGCCAAAGCCAGGGCATGCACCAAACGCAGATAGAGGCTTGGTATGCTCTCTTGGCGAAGAGGCCGAAACGAATCCCCTAGCGGTGGTAGCGAGAAATAGTGAGAAATAGTTTCAGTAAGAGCGTATGGGTTGAATGTAGGAACTCTTCATGGTTGAAGATGTTGTGCACTTGGTGTTTTGATTAAGATCATGCAAAAAGACGTAAGAAACCAATGCGCCGCTCGAACTCTGCTTTGCTTTTACAGAGCACTGCTCGAAGCGCAGATTCCCTTCCCTGCTTTCGGCGCCTGGCGTACGGATTATGTCGATCGTTCTGCCATACTCTGTTTCACGATAACTTGACGAACAGTGGAGGCCTCAGCACCCGCGACCTAATAAGGGCGCCGGAGCAAGGCATGTGATAACACTCCATGGTCGAGGCCTCCGGGGTCTGGCTACCGCTACAACAAAACCCTTCGCGAAAAAAAAAAAAAAAGTTTTAGGTTTCTTTTTTTTTTTTTTTTAAAGGCCGACGAACAACCTCGGTGTTCTGCAGGGAAGATAATCCCCTTAGCGCTCCCTTCTCGTAAGCTGCGAGGGTACCCAAGTTGGGGCAAGGTAAAAAGTGAAGAGGATATAGGAAAATAGGGAGGGGAGGGGAGGCAAAAGTGGAAAGCACGAAGTGTACGCCGGCCTGTAACGGCAATTGAACTCGCGCGATTCTATCTATAACGAGAAGATATGGAGAATAAGGAATAAATAGTCACAAACTTATGAGCTTCAAATATATTTAAACCAAACAAGTGACGCCGCATCCGTCTCCACTCGATTTTTTTCGCCATGATAGCACCGTGGCCGTTTGCGATCGCCGGCGATCGCAGCCGTGTAATTGGTCGTTTCCGTTCAAAACATCGCACTGTGCCCTGGCACCCGTCACAGATTCGCGGCTATATTGAGCGTATGGTTGCCTCATGAACTGTCCGCTAAATTCAACTGGACAATTCACGTCCCGTGATATCAGGTCACGCGACGTAAATCTCCCCGCTAAATTTAGCGGAGGAAACTGAGTAGGGGTATCGGTCGGGTGACGTCAATATCCCCGCAAAACTTTATGGGGAAACTGAATTGGTATCCAGGTCGTTAGACGTCGGTTCCTCCATTAATTAGCGCGAGAAACAAAATTCGCATAGAGGTCACATGGCGTAATTTATTGGGCTAACTTTAGCGAGGTAATTAAATTTATTTATGGGTCACGTAGCATCAATTTTTCTTTTGACTTTAGCGAGGAAACTGAACTAGTTTTTATGTCAGGAGACGTCAATTTCCCCATTAAATTTAGTAGGGAAGCTGAATTGGTGTTTAGATCACGTCGCGTATATCTCCCTCTAAATGTAGCAGAGAAATGTACGGATGGGCGGACGGAAAAGTTCTGAGGTTTGACGGTTTTGTTTAAAAGAAATCCCTGCTTTGAAAAGTAACGGTGATGTATGCATATGTAGACAGCGACGTCATTCAGCCCCAATCAGCGACTGCTACCTCCGCTGTAGATGCAAAATTTAGCCACCAGAGTACCACTGCAAGGGTTCTAGCAGCAGTATACTACTAGCACTCCAGGATAGCAATACTGCTACCACTGCCGACGTGCATCACGTAATAGCGATACAAGATCGCATGCTGGTACGATGCTCATCCAGATCAAAACGGGCAGGAGTGGAGTCTGAACGCTCAAACAGGCGAAAGCTCCAGATCCTACAAAATGACAATCCTGACGAGCTCTTTTTTTTTTTTTTTGCTTTGTTTTCTTCTTCTAGTCATCAGACAGATAACGGTAAAAGCTACTGGAATGGCCTGGACACGGAGAAATGGGAGCGCGAGGTCGTCGACGAGAGGCTGATGGTGGAGAAGTACGCCAACGTTCCCGCACAAGACATCAGGGGTCTCCGGGGTCCCTTCCTCTTCACCGGGGGCGATGCCGGTTTCCGGATGCTGCACCGTCACTTCGACTACGACTGCACGCTGATCCACAAGCGGGACGGCCCATACGACGCCCCGGTCTTTCCGTACACGCTCGACTACGGCTTCCAGAAGCCTTGCATGGTGAAGGAGTGTCCCAACGACAGCTATCCCGGCCTCTGGACCGTGCCCCTGAACTACTTGTTCAGAAAATATCAGGAGGGAGGAGTCGATAAATACGGGCACTGTTCGATGGCGGACGCCTGCCAACCGGAACTGAAAACTTCCAGTGAGACATTTGAGTACCTAAGGTAAGTGACAGCAATACGTTGATTTCATTACACTTAAATTATATACTTGTACGGTACTCATTAATGAAATTACTTGCAATTGATTACCTTTTAGCGTAATTTCGTAATCAATTGATTATATTTATTCGGAAGTAATCACAAGAGTAATCTGATTACTTTTAAGGTTAGTATTCAAAAAGTATTCGTATCCGTTACTTTTTTTCCCTTGCCGTTCCTTATAACGCCATTTGTTCGTTTGATGTTTCCCTCCAAGAACTCCTCCAACCAGAACACCTAAAGGAGAATGGTTTATCAAAAAGTTGTCCATAATTATGTGTTTCTGATTAAACGATGGACAGTACGAAGGACCCGTTTTCGAACTGGCGAAATACTGTAGTTTCGAAAATCTACTGTAATCGGAGAACTAATGGTTACTTTTTTATGTAACGGCCAGTTACATTTTTTCCTCAAGTAATACAAGACTGCGCTTAATTGAACGCAATATAGCCTTTTCGAAAATCAGTGCCATCTGGCGTTAAATGGGCCATAAAACGATGTTTTTTACTTTCGCTAAATACTACTCAGAAACACTCCCTCGCGTTAACAACCGAATAAACTTGCCTTTGTTTTTCTTTCTAAGAATGGCTTTCGGCAAATAAATTCGAGAAATGTAAGCATTGTTCATCCTCTCAACAGACCAAACAGATCTATTGCTTTATTACCCAGGCATCAAGGAGAGTGCAGGGTTTGGTGTTCCACGCGCCACACACGCACGCCTTCCCCGTATAAAAGCTTGGAAGAAAATAACCAAAATAAAGCGTTGACGAACGCGCGTGCAAGATGCCGTTTGTTTTAGGCATTTGCTTTAGAAAATTTACTACTGCTGAGGCCAGCACGTGCGGCGCGTGTAACACCAATTCCTGCATTCTCCTTGATGCTTGGGTAATTTAGCAATAGGTCTACTGGGAGCTAGAACAAGCGGTCCCGTGGCCTTGGGTCTCTCATATACCGCCAAGGTTAATCATACCCACGCGCTGGGATTGGCAAAGTAGAAAACGTGTGCTGAGCTCCAGGCATTGTTAGGGTTCGGCTATTCTCATGAACGCAGTGGTTGGGCACGAGCCACTACCTGAATGCCCGCCATTGCATTGTTACGAGCCGAAGTCAAGTACTCGCGCAGTCCTAGTGTCTAATTCATGAGCCGCGCTCGACTGTTGTCGTACAGGAGGTTTCAATCCCACAATTACGTCATAAAGCTTTACGAAGGCAAGACTAAAAGAAATAGACCCCTTTTAACCTCGCAAGTTTACCGCGACAAAGAAGAATCTGCTCCAGTGGCGGTCCGTGCGAGTATAGACGATTGCAAGCTGGACGACTGGCCGCCGCCATGTCTCTGCTCGAGCAGGCACGCCCGTGCGATTACGAGCTTGCGAAAGCTACGTTCACCCGCGCGTTGCACGCGCTTGCACGCATGAGGCACCACTTGTGGCGCCATGCTTGCAATTGTCTATAGTGGGACCAGAACACGGTGTAAGATCCACACTTTAGGTGAGGACACAACGGGGCTAAACGCGCGGCCCGAGGAATCAGATAGCGTTCGTTCGACTGGCATCCGAAAGGCTGCATTATTCCGCGGGGACCGTGCCCGCGGCTGACAGTGTCGCCGGCGGCCAAACGGAGAAACTGTGTGAGAGCGAAAAAAATCATCTCGTTGTTATGACACCCCGGTACACCGTGGTCTTTCTGCACGTGCGACAACCTCGCTGGAGTAGTGGCTAGAGCGGCGGCCGCTTTGTGAAGATTTTGTGCGTAGACGACACCATGGCGCTGCTGTTCTGTGCCCTAGGAGCGCGCCCCCGTCAGCCCCATCATCAGCGCTGTTAAGGGGTGTCCAAACAGGACACTACAAAACTCACGACTCCGGCAAATCGTGCCGCGCTCTGCCGCGATCCGCTTCCGGCCGTCGGAGGGAAATTTCCCTCCGTCAATTCTTCCCGGGGGGGAAACTTCCCTCCGTCAAATCTCCCCCTCGCTTCCTCCACGGCGGCCTTGCTCTGCTTATCACGTGGGTCCGGAGAGCCACTCACACGCTCTGTTGGCTGTCGGTCAATCGCTCAAGGCCTCCGCTCACAATAGGCGCTTTCAGCGCGCGCCAGACTGAGCCGCCATAGCCGAGCTTCTCTTGTCTTACCGAGATGCCGAGTCACCGAAGCGGGTGTTGACGAGTCTCCACAAGGGCCTGTGCTAGGGAGAAGGAAACAGTAACATTTAAAATGGCAGTAATCCGTCCTGCTGTGGTACTAATGAAGTGGAGCGAACAAAATAAGAGGGAACAAAAACTGAAGGTCGTTAATGGCGGCGCCCAAGCACAGCTGTCTGAAAGCGTCTATACGGAACCGCATCGGACGCCATCACGACGAAAGTGAATCTCGACAAAGAAAGCAGATCCGAGGTGGGCGAAACGCACCCTTCGACGCAGGAGTGTCCCAAATCCACCCGAGGCCGGACCTCATTGGCCTTCGAGCCGAGGCGACGGCGGTACGCGAGGGCGTTGGCGTGGTGGGCCAGACGCAGGTGGCGTGTGACGTCAATCTGAAGAGGAGAGCAGTCGTGATCGTAAAAATTTTCACGACTCCTGCAAACATTTTCACGACTCCGACAGACCGTAAAAATAGAAGCGTCCGCTTCAATTTTCACGATTTGCCGGAGTCGTGAGTTTTGTAGTGTCCTGTTTGGACACCCCTTTAGGCGCTTACTACTGTGGTTTGACTGGAGCTTTTCGCGGTGCGAAACAACTGCTAATGTTGTTCTGTATACTCTGTTTCACCTTATGAATGATGTACCACAGGAAAGACTTCAAGCGCGAGCTCTTTGCTCTGGGGCACATCTCGGCGGCACACGCTCTCGTGAATTAAGAGCAGCTGCCAACGCTATGAGCTCGCGCTTCTAGCCTTCGCGGCGGTACAACATAAGGTGAAACGAAGTATAGTAAATTGTAGTTCTGCCTTTAGACTAATGCCTCTAGAGTGTGTGCTATCCTCTACTTGAAATATTCCCGTGTTTTGAGGGAGATAATTTTATTAATACCGACCCCCCCCCCCCCCCCCCCCAGTTCTGACACATCGTTCAGCAACGCTATCACTTGGGTTGCAGGTTTAATAGCTGCGAAAGAAGTTCTACGGTGCTACATTTCGGAGAAGCGTACCGCGTCACCCTCGTCGTCTTCTTCGTTCACCGCACACGTGCCATTAATTCTCCTAGGGCACAGAACTTCAGCGCCACTCGCGGTATCTACATCGACCGTCTTCACGAGCGTCGTTGTAAGCGTGCGCCGCTCTTGCCACTACACCCTTTAGAACACTGTATCTGCGCGAATGGAGCATGAGGCGGCACAAGCCGTCTTGTGCACTGCTGCCTGCCTCCTGCGTCTTACACCGTGCTCATAAAGCCCCTTGATAAAGGTGTTTTCACAAGTACCGCCAACCATTGTTGTGGAAATGCGCAAGACACGTGCCACGAGCGGGTGCTCCGCCGCCATTCGCTTCCAAGGGCCGCTCATTTCAGTGCTGCGCCGCCATTTGCTTCCAAGGGCCGCTCGAGACCTGGGCCACGTGCGCTCGCGCATTTGGCGCTACTTGCAAAGACAAACGAAAACATATTGAGGGGCTTTACGTGCTCACGGCTCGACGAGTCATCTGCCGGCGCCGCTCGAAACCATAGTGAGAGAGAGAAAGAGATTGAGTGAAAAAATAACTTTATCGGCACGTCACGAGGAGCGCGCTGTCCTCACCTGAAGAGTATTATCTTACACCCTGGGCCAGACTAGGATTAGTACGTCTCTGTAATGTTAGGAACATTCCAACCCAATATCGTTTCATGACCCCTTGGAACTGCATTTCCTCGTACACCGTCACTTTTGCACGTCAATGGCAGATGAGAATTAGTTCGAGCACCTCGTCATTCTTTCTCGGTTTGTTTCATTTTCAGTGGTGTGACGTTAGAAGTAACTAGTACAAAGTGGCGACCCATACGCCTCTTAATTAAATTTCCGCTATCAAAAGGCTTTAGAGCCAGACTTCTGCCAAAAGACTTATTGGGCCGAATTCCGTACTAAACGCTACCCAACAGCTGTGGTGTTGCACTGACGTTTAGAACGTACATGCCTCGTCTATCATCCGCTTGGTAGTATCTTCAATCTCTTCCTTCCTCAGCCTCAAGAAGGCCGTTATTAGTTTCGGAGAGGCGCCATACATTGACATGGTAATGGTTATCAAAGTTTCCAGACTGAATTTCTTAAATGGTATATGCAACCGCGCTTTGCAAACACAAACACGTTTTCTTTTCATTCACCCCTGCATTACTCTGCACACATACTTGGGAAACTCGGTCATCTTTAGTCTGGTGCCCGGAACCCGTCTCCGACTGTTGTGTTTTCCATGTGTACCTAAATGTGGTCTCGCGATCTTCGCCTGATGATTTTATTAGCGTCGAGATGCTTCGGTGGCGCCCTCTTGTAGTTTCCATCCGTGACGTCACGACTAGGATTGGCTTCGCCGTGACGTCACGAGTTGTTACCTTGACTACATACCATCAGTTGCGACGACAAGTTCGATGGTGTCTTCAAAGAACACAGCGGAAGCTAGGAGACATCGCATTCCGAAACTAACACCGTCGGGCCACTCGGGGAAAGCTGACCGCAACGACGCTTTTGGTCGCGCACGTCGCTAACAAACGTGTCATGCTGTCGCCCACCGCGATCCTCGTGGTCGCGCGCAGCACCGGAGGGAGGTGTACCAGACGCCTATCCTGCTGCACGTCGCTCTGCGCCACAGTGTAAGATATACTCCTTTGCCCGACGCGGAGCGCCAGATAGACTCCTCTCACGAGCGCAAGCGCGCGCCCAACAGCCCGCGGCGAAAGCCCGTGAAAGTACTTTATCTAGTCTATCGCGTCTCATTGTTCCTCACGCCAGTGCCTTCACTTAAGGCCACGGTCCCACTGAATTTGGCAGTTTAGGTACC